ATAAATGTTGGAGAAGATGTGGGAAAATTGGAACACTAATACATTGTTGGTGGAGTCGTGAAATGATCCAACCATTTTGGAGAACAATTTGGAACTATGCCCAAAGGGCTACAAAAATGTGCATACCCTTTGATGCAGCAATAGCACTTCTAGGGCTATATCCCAAAGAGATCATACAAATGGGAAAAGGACCCACATGTACAAAAATACATAGCAGCTCTTTTTGTGGTGGCAAAGAATTGGAAATTGAGAGGATGCCCATCAAGTGGGGAATGGCTGAGCAAGCTGTGGTATATGAATGTAGTACAATACTATTGTGCTATAAGAAATGATGAACAGGCTGACTTCAGAAAAACCTGGAAAGACTTATATGGTCTGATGCTGAGTGAAGTGAGCAGAACCAAGAGGACTTTGTACACAATAACAGCCACGTTATCCGATGACTAATATTGTTAAACTGAACCCTTCTCAGCATTACAAGGATCTAAGACATCTCCAGAGGCCTCGGGATGGAAAATGCTGTCCACATCCAAAGAAAGAACTATGGAAATCGAATCGCTATCACTTATTTTTACCTTCTTTTGAGTTTTGTTTCATCTTTCTGATGGTTCCTTCTATTGGTTTTAATTTTTACTTACAACTTTATTAATGTGAAAATAGGAATGTAAAGGTAAAGCCTATATCAGATTGTGCGCCCTCTTGGGGAGGGTGGTGGGGAGAAAAATTTTCAACTCAAAAGCATATGGAAGTAATTGTTGATAAATCAAAATAAATTAATAAAATTTTTTTAAAAAAAGAAATCTTTGTCCTTATTCCTTAATCTTAGTGTCTTCCCTGTAAGACTATCTCCTAGAAAATTTATCCTTTATAAAACTTGTTTGGAAAAAAAAAGCTTGTTTGCATAGTTTGTATTAGAATGTGAGCTCCTTGAGAGCAGACACACCCCCCTCCTTTGTATTCCCAGAACCTAGCATAGTGCCTGACACTTGTTTGTTGACCTGACCTTAATGTGCCATATGAATACTACCTATTATTATTGTTGTTGTTGTTATAAGCCCTATAGACACGTGGATCTATTTTTACACCTGGCAGAGGGGGCAGGAGCCAAGGGTAGGCTACCAACTGGCATAGTGGAAAAAGCACTTATCCTTCATCCGGACCACCTCGATTCCTGTACCAGTCCTGTACCCCTGACCTCTCAGCCATTTCCCAACCTCTCAGTTTTTCACATCTATAAATTGCAATTGATGCTACCTACCTATAGGGGTAGGCATAACATACATTACGAGGTTTGATTTTTTTTTCAACCTGACTGATGATTTCATTGGTGTATCGGGGAGCTCCCAGGGGGGAAATTCCCGGTTCTAAAATAGATCCACAGGTAATTATTATGCAACCTAAAGTTTTATAGAGTTGCCTGGGTGCTCTAGAAATTTAATGATTTGCCCAGGGTCTCTCGGCCGGTATGTATCAAAAGCAGACTTGAACCTTGACGTTCCACACAGAGGCCAGACCTTTAGCCCACTGCCTTTCTTTGTGAGGAAACCTTAACTTTTTTTTTTTAATCTTTGCTATTCTTATTAAGAGTAGTCTGGGCAAGAATGTCTTGCCGAGGGCACAAGCAGGAAGAGAGCTTCTAAACTCCTGGGTCCTATTCGCAGTTCATCTCCAGCCTCTTTCTCCAGGAGCCGTTCTCGGACCCACGTCCCTACTACCTTTCTGTCTCAGCATTGGGAAGGTGACAGTTTCAGGAACCCAAGCCCGAGGGCTTCCCTCTCATCCCTTCCCAGGCTGGCAAGGGGCCCACGCTGCGGCCACTGCACGCGCTGAGCCAGAAGCCCTGCCACCTGCCGCCCGTCCCCTGCGCTAGGGCCGAGCAGCCAGCTGGCATGGCCGCCCGCCCACACCCGAAACCCTGATCCCCTCTCCAGAAAGTCCCCAACCTCAGGGCGGGCCTGGAGGGAGCCCCTCCCTGGGAGGGGCGGGGGACAGGATGTAAACAGTAGCCAGAAGGACACGGGGTGGGTGACTGGATGGGGATGCCAGGCGGCGCTCTTGGGTGTCCGCGTGGCTCCTAGACCAGCGCGGCAATCCCCCAGGGTGGGCCCCCCCCCCGGATCCTCATGGGTTAAACCTCCTCGGCCTATCCAGGGCCTAGCCAACCCCTTTGTCCCAGAGCCCCGCCCCCGAGCCCCCTCCCCCTCATTCCCCATGACAACAGCCCCAAACCCTTCAGCTGACGCACAGCCCGAGTTGGAGCCTCCGACTCCTCCTCAGCCCCCCTCTCTTCCCCCAAGCAGGGCGCTCAGGCTGAGGGTCTGCCAATCTAGGGGAGGACAGCCTCCTCACTCCTCCCTATCCAAGGAGGTCCCGTGTAGGCGATCAGTGCTGACCCGGGAGAGGCCAGAGGTCCGGGAGAGAGATTGCATAGCCAGGCTCACAAGAGCTAATTCCCACCAGACCAGCAGCACCCTCAACCTTAACAAACAGAACCAGAGTCATCTTAGGTTGCTTTGGTGCCTTGGCATGGGGTGGGGTGGGGTACAAGGAGAGGAGGCAGGCAGGCTGAAGGTGGCTTTGCCCTCACCATATGGGCCTCAATTTTTTTTGAACTGCCACCCTCTCCAGCCATCACCCCATGCACCCGGTCAGTTGCACATCCTGGTCAGGCCCCTCCCTCCCAAGGGTCAGCTGGTCACATTCCCAAGGCTGTAGGCTCACTGAGTACTTGGGGGCGGAGGCGGAGGGACCCTGTGGCTCACCCCATTAGGCGGCAGGGAGGGAGTGTGGGAGGGATCTTGTCTCCCCTCCTTAGGGGCCGAGCTTGAGAAACTATATGAGCCCCCCCTTCCAGCCAGCAAGAGGAGGGGCGCCTGCAAAGGAGTGACTCATCCTGGGACCCCTCCTGCCTTCGTCAGCTTTTCCATCTGGCCAGAGAGCCACTTCTCACAGGGCTGGACTTGGGTGCTGAAGCCTCGGGGATTAGGCGCAAACACTATGTATAACTACCTCACTGAGCCCAAAAAGTTTTGGGGGCTGCATCTCCCCTCAGCAGCTGCTTTAGTTCCTTTGAACCCTTTAGCTCCAGACCTCTTACTTAACCTGAGGTATAACCCGGCTCCCTATTCCCTTCTAACCGAAGCAGAGATACTGAGCAGATGGATAGACTCCCATAGGAGCACTGTGGGGCTGGGGCACAGCAAATAGAGGTGGAATGTTTCCTCAATTTAATCTCCAGCTCTGGCCTGGATCTGTTCTAGCAGAGAGGGTCAGACTGGTAGTACTGGCCTTTCGTTCATCCCCAGAGTTCAAGAGAAGGAGCCCTGCTACTTTCTGAGGTTAAAAACAACTAAACAAACAAGCAAACAAAAAACCTAGGGGGCTCAGTGGCAGCTATGCAATCAGGAAGAGAGACTGCAAGAGACTGACTGATGATATTCCAAGCTAAGGTTGTCCTTGAGCAGCCCCTCTCTCCCATAAACTTAAACCACATCTGTTTTGTTCTCCACAGACTGAAATAACTACATACACACGAGTAACTAAAGGCACTGGGACCTGTAGACCGATACAGTCACCAAAATATAAATTCACACAAACACGTGAGGAGTGAGGGGGAAGGGAGTCTTTTCCTAAAGCTTTCAGAGCAAACATATAAACTATTGCTGATGCAGACAATGTGGCTGGGGGGGTCAGGAGGATGGGCAAAAACAGGATAGGGGGGAGGGTTCTAGAACACCATTCACTTCTTCCCCAAAGCCTTATCCTGCTAAAGACCTCCAGCTTGGATTCTATTTGGGCCTCCTGGGCTGAGCCCCCTCAATTTGCTAAAAACCTGAGTGGAGAGTGATGTCAGAGTCAAGTAATCAGGAAAAGTCTCTGAGACCCCAAACTCTCTCCTCCCATTCCAACTGCCCTCCCACAAAGAACACTAACTGCAATTGAGTTGGTGCCTTCCTCAGTTTCCCCATCATTGCCTCATCTACTTGCCCCTCATCGTGCTTCTACCAGAACTCGCCTATCTCCCCCCAGAAGCAATAATTTCTGCCTCCCTTATCTCTTTCCCCATCAAGCCCCTTTCTGGTCTTTGCTTTCTTTAGTTCCTCCTTCTGTCTCTTCCCTTTCCAAATTGCTTCCTGTGTGGCTCAGCCTTCCCAACCCCCTGTCTCTGTCTCCCCTACTCCCTTCTATCTCCCTCCCTCCCCCCAATCTCCAGGTCTCTGCCTCCCACACGCCCAGAAGCAGCTGCTTCGACAAGCGGCAGCGGGTGGGGGCGGCTGCGAAGACAGAATGGGGGCCACCAGCTCTCACCAAGGCAGAGCCTTTGTAGGGCTCAGATCCCCCCTCACCCTAGACAGGGGAAGGAGGCTGGGCTCAAGGAACAACCGGCTAGCCTGAGATCTGGGGCACTCGAAAATGGGTCCCCCACCCCCACTCCGGCTGCTGGACTGGAGGGGCACGGAGCTGTGCTTCTGGTTGGGGTGGGGGAGATGGCCTGGGCCTGAAGGTTCTGGGTTTCGTGGGGTGCCAGAGGAGTCCCGTTAGCCGCCTGACCCGGGTGCCCAGGAACGCCAAGGGGAGGGATTCTGGAGTGCCCGGGGCCCAGGCAGCCGGCCCTGGGTGGGGTGGGGAGGCCAGGACCAGGCTGCAGACCCAGGTCCCAGGCTCCCGGGCACAGCTTTCTCGGGTACTGGGGCTGAAGGCTGCCGATGGCGCGGATCGCAGGCCCTGGCGCTGGAGACCCCTGTGGCAAGGCCCAAGTCGGACAGGGGGACGTGGGGAGAAGGACGGACAGACAGAGAGGTTTGGGGGACAGATAACACTACCCAGACCCGCGTTAACCTCTGCGGCGCTGGGGGAGCAGGCGTGGGCGGGACCTGCCGGACCTGCCGGACCGGAGCCCCCCTCCCCCTCTTCAGGCCCAGCCAGTAACCCTCTGCAACGCCCTGCAACCCTCTGCCCCAGACCCTGGTCCGGGCAGGGCCCGGGGCGTCCCCACTCACATGGCTCCACCGCTCTGGGCTGCGCTGGGCCCGCCTGCCTTGCCGCTCTGATCTGCCCGCCCGGCCCGGGCCTCCTCCTCTGCCGCCGTCGCTGCCGCTGAAGCCGGCGCCGGCCCCTCCCTCTTCCCTCCAGCCTCCCCCTCCCCCGTTTCCCCTCCCCCTATCCCCCGCTCCTCCCCGGGCCCTGCTCGGCCCGGCCCTGCGCTGCGGCACCGCCCCCCAGCTCTGTTCCTCAGCTCGCACTGCTTTCTCTCCCCCCACCCCAACACCCCCTTCCACCCTGGGTAATGAGAGGAGCAGCAGCCCTCGGAGCCCCTCCAATCCACCCATTCCCGGGTCAGGGATAGGTGCCTAATCTACCCTCCTCACTCAGAGTCAGGCCCCTCTGGACCCCAGAATAGTGGAAAGCCAGCCCCCTCCCATACTCTGAAATCAGAGAAAGGGAGAGAATCAGCGCCTCCCAGACCCTGGAATGAGGGGCAAACCAGTCCCTTCCCCAAGGCATTGGTATTTATGGGAGACTTCCCAATAGGGAGTAGTGTTTGCAAGACCCACCAGCTGTGCACCAGAGACATCCCGCTGCCCCAGATCTATCCAAACAGCCATCCCCTCTGGGGTCTTCTAGGGGCATGTGCTTTTTTTCTAAACTGATCCCAGCTGGGTTTGTGGACTTGGTGGAACTCTCCCTACCTTGGATTTCCAGGAATGAGGGAACAGGGAGGGATTCTCCTTAGTACTCAATCTGACAGTAGGGTGGGGTTGACACACAACTCAAGGATTTAGCCACCTCATCATGAGGCATTGTCTAGTGAAGAGTGCTGGTCTCTGCCACTTACTATCTGGGTGATCTTGAACAAATAACTTAACCTCTCTGGGCCTCAGTTGCCTGGTTTGTAAAATGAAAGGTTTGGACTAGATGACCCATCAGGTCCTTTCAAATTCTAAATCTGTGACCCTGAATTCTGCCACACACACTTGGGGAGGGAGGAGGGGGGGTTGGGGAGGTGACTCCCTCCCAACCTTTGACTTAGCCATCTATTATCTTAAGACTGTTCCCCATCTCTGTCCCAATTTCCTTCCTTCCTTCCTTCCTTCCTTCCTTCCTTCCTTCCTTCCTTCCTTCCTTCCTTCCTTCTCCTCTCCTTCTTCCTCCTCCTCCCTCCTCCTTCCTTCTTCTTTCCTTCCTTCTTCTCCCTCCTCTCTCTCTCTCTCTCTCTCTCTCTCTCTCTCTCTCCCCCTCCCTCCCTCCCTCCCTCCCTCCTCTCTCTCTTTCTTTCTTTCCTCTCTCTGGCCCATTCTGGTTTGTCTTCTCTCTGCCCTCCAGTCTCTCTCCCTTTCTATTCCTAACCAACCATTTTGTCACAATAAATTCCACTTCAAGCCTCAGGAAGAGGAAAGACAAGGCCCTAGGCTATTTCTCAGGCTCAGAGCCTTTGCTGGCCTTAGGGTCGTGGATGGGGTCAGGTCCAAAATTCTGGAGTTGAGTGAGCTTCCTTCCTAGCCTCCAGGCCAGTTCTGCCCTGGACTCAGCTCCCGCAAGATCCAGATATGCCCTAACCTCCAGAATGTCCTTTGCTCAACCTCAGTTTCCTAATCTGTAGAATTGCAGAACGAGAAGGAACAGACAGGTTGGGCTGTACAAGCAGATTCCTGCCTGGGGAGGGGGGGGCTAAAGTGTGACCCTAGTACCTCTGTGTCCTGTCCCGTCCCCCCCCCCCAGCTTGTGGCCTCAGGCCAAACTTAACCCGTGACGCCTGGAAGGGGGTGGGGGCACGTGAGTTTTAAAGCTATCCCTCCCTCCCGTCCTATTTATAGAGAGCTTTCCCCAAGAGAGCCTTAGCGGACGGAGTCTGCTCTCTCACTACCGTCCCAACCCTTGCTCTGCGCAGGCGCACAGGCAGACCGTTTTTGTGCTGAGCCCGTCAAAACGCCAAGTGTGTAATACTGTCATGGAATTAGCGATCATTAGGGCTAGAAGAGTCTAATTTCCATCTAGTGCAACTCTTTTATTTTAGAGATAGAGAAACTAAGTCCCAGTTAAGTTAATATTAACCCGCAGTCAAGCTGGTAGTAAGGTGGAGAGCTGGGGTATGATTCTGGGGTATGATGAATACAGGGTCTTCTGACAGCTAGTGCTCCCGATGCAGTGTTCTTGCCACTGAACCATCCCACCTCAAAAATAATTTAATTCCGGAATTCTTGACTTGGATTTAATGGGTAGATTTCAGGGGATTCTGTAAATTTGGCAGGGAAAAATACATTTTTATTTCCATATAATTGGTTTCCTTTGTAATCCTACATATTTTGTTTTAGAATTTAAAAATTTAGAATGTTATTCTGAGAAGGGGCCCAGTCATTCAAAAAGCATTTATTAAGTGCCTACTATGTACCGGGCACCTTGCTAAGCACTTCTCTGCACTGAATGAATGGATGAAGCATTTATTAAGCACTTACTATGTGCCAGGCACTGTGTTAAGCCCTGGGATTATATATCTATTTATCTACATCTATATGTATATCTATATATCTATATGTATATGTATATCTATGTCTATCTATATAAATAAAAGAGTAAGCCAGTCCCTGCTCTCAAGAAGCTCACATTCTAAAGAGGAAGACAGCACACGTGATTTCAGCTTGCAAGTCAGATGAAAAAGTCCCAGTGTCCTTAGGGTACCCTGGCAAAGCAGATGTTAATGCCTCTTCTGTAATGTCATTTCCACTTCCTGATGTTGAACATTTGACAGAGCCAAGGACTTTGGTGGCAAGAATCCTCCTTTCTGGGTCTTGAGGATTTGAGGCTGCAGCCCCGGAAGGAGCAGCTGTCAGGCTGCATCTCCCCACGGGTTGCTTCCTAGGATTATGGCTGTGGCCACTGGGCTGGATACATTTGCTATTCCACTGACTCTTGGGTCCACGCTCCTGAGCTGTCTCCATCAGGATCTTATGGAAGATGGTGGTCAAGGTGATAAGGGTGATTTGTCTTGCCTGGAACATGTTTCCTCCTGTTTCTCCTTGGGGTGTCTTGTTGCTTCGGTTCACCTGGCTTGCCTGCCCTGGGAGTGGCATTTGGCTGGCAGTTGGGAATGGCTGGCACCTTCTCCAGAGGAGTTGCTTCTCTGGATGATGTCTGTGAGGGCTGGGCTTGGCTGGAAGCCAAAAGGGTCCATGACACAAAGAAGGTTAAGAACACCTAATTTAATCCGACCCTTTAAAGTTTTTTATTGTAATTTTTAAAATTCTGAACTTAAATAGCTCTAAAATCAGGAAGTTGGATTTGATGACCTCTGAGCTTACCTCAAGCCCTGAATATATGACCTATGACCAATTAAAATTGGGACTTCCACATTCACAATAGAACTGAACCAAATGAATTTTTGAGAATTTGAGAACATGAATCACTATGACATATAGCTTGCTTTTTCAAATATAAAACAAATTCAGAATGTAACTTTCAAAGCTGTTCTGCTTGTATGTGATTCTTTCTGGCCTTCCTTCTCTCTTCTGCATACAACTCTTCATTTTATTGATGGAAAGAGTAGAGCCCAGGAAGGAGAAGGGACTTGCTTAAAAACAAGCCTAGCTAACATCAGAGTCAGAACTAAAATAGTCAACAAGCATTTATCAAGCCCTTACACTGTGCCTGCCAAGTACCGTGCTAAAGGCTAGAGATATGAGGAAAGGCAAAACAGACCCTGTTCTCAAAGCACCCTGAGTGTAATGCAGAGAGGCCCACATGCAAACAATAATCTGGTACAAACCAGATATATACAAGGCAAGTTGGAGATAATCAAAGAGGAAAGGCATTGGAATGGAGGTGGACTGAGAAAGCTTTCTTGAAGAAGGTGAGATTTCATGCAGTGGATAGAGCACCAGCCTTGAAGTCAGGAGGACCTGAGTTCAAATCCGACCTCAGACCAAACACTTGACACGTGCTAGCTGTGTGACTCTGGGCAAGTCACTTAACCCCAATCACCTAAAATAAAAAAAAAAAAGGTGAGATTTCAGGTGGGTCTTGAAGGAAGCCAGGGAAGTACCAGGAGGCTGGGATGATAACAGAAAGAATTCTAGGGTTGAGGACAGCCAGTGAAAATAGAATTGGGAAATGGAGTTTTGTGTGAGAAGAGACCAATGGCTTTGGATCACAGAGTATGTTGAAAGGAGGAAGATGGAAGGAAGCTGGAAAGGTAGAAATGATCCAGGTTATGAGGGATTTTGAAAGCCAGAGGATTTTATATTTGATCTTGGAGGTGACAGGGAATCACTGGAGCTGACTGGAATGGGGGGTGGGGTGTATGTGTGACACAGTCAGACTTGTACTTTTTTTTAACGTAAACATAGCCTAATTTATTGACAGAAAGAGCATTAAGGACTCAGTGGAATCAAGAAAAATTTCATGGACATGATACTTTAGCTGAACCTTGAAGGAATATAAGGATTTATACAGGCAGAGGTGAGGGTGGAGTATATTTCAGGCATGGGGAAACAAGCCTGGTGAATTCATGGCAGTGGAAGATGTAAAGTTGAGTTTTGGAGAAACAAGTCAAGTCCAGGAGATATTATTAAATGCCTACTGAATGCCAGACACTGGCATTGGGAGATATAAAAAAAGCAATAAGAACATAAAACAAACAAAAAATATCACATTCTCTTGTCTCAAGAAGCTCCTGGTCTAATAGTGGAGAGAATATGCAAATAAACTATGCAGAAACAAGTTGTAAGACCTGTACTTTTAAGAAGATCAATTTGACAGCCATGGGGAGGATGGATTGGAGTGGGGAGAGACTTGAGGTAGGTAGACCCACTACCAGGCTACAGTAATAATCCAGGTGGAAGGTGATGAAGCCTGCATGGGAGTGCTGGTGATGTCAAAGGAGAGAGGCAGGCAGGAGAGATGCTATGGATGTAGGAGCAACCAGACTTAGCAACTGATGGTTGGGGAGAGGGGAGAGTGAGGAGGTAAGGATAACTCATAGTTGCAACCCTGGGTGGCTGGGAGAATCCAGGTCATCTGACTTCCAACTGCTCATCTTCATAGGTCCAGTGAGAACATTCAAACACGTTCCCAAACAGCCAGTGTAACTTCAGAGGTAGGCATAGCTCCCCTACACA